CCGACAAAAAAATATGGAATCAATAGAAAAATTAGATTTTCTAGGTGTGTTGTCTGCACCGACAGAAAAATTCTGTTTTCCCTGTCGGTGCTATGATATTTCTGTCGGTTATTCACCCATAGGGAAAACAATAACAACATGCCACGGCCTCCCGCCAGACCGAAAGATGTCCAAAAACTTCCCCGTGTGGACTCCTCACCGCGTGCGCAGAGAGAGGAAATTTTTTTGCGCCCGACATAATAAAAAAATAAGAAGAAAAAGGAACCCTTCAAGGTCTCAAGTCTCAACCAGTATCCACACCACAAAGCCCTAAAGCCCAGCACCGCTCAAAATCTAAGATGCATACGAGTGTCAAAATTTGAGATGCATACGAGTACAAAATTGATTTGAGGTGTGCAAACTTCAAAGTTTGACTCGAGTTACATGAGGTGTATCTATTTTGTGAACTATATATATGCCTGGTTTATTAAAATCATTTGAAAATTTTATGGCAAGCATAAACACCCAAGGTATGCTTCCGTTAATTTTTTTAGGTTTTTTGGACTACTTTTAGGTATTTGTAGAATTAATTAGTGGCAATATAGAGACAAAAGCTAGAATTATCCTAGCAACATAATTGAATTTTCATCTATCTCCATGACAGATGGTTCAATGGACCATATGAGCCCAGATTCATTTTTATGTATATTTTAAATCTTAGGGGGTACACACAATTCAGTTATGAATTTGTTTCAATAGGCATGCAAAAATTCATTTAAACTCTAAAGTGAATGATTCCAAAAATTTCTGAAACTCTCGGACAACAACATATATATATGACACCTATGGCGCGTGAAGAAAGTTTTAGGGTAAATGAAATATACACACACACACACGAATGATAACAAAAGATCTTTTCGGGATGGTGTGGCCTTGTCCCAGCTAGGCCAATGTTAGTTTCGAAGTTTGTAAACATATTATAATATAAACATTTCATGGACGACATTCTTCTAGCATTCAAATTGGGTCTCAGATGTGCAAGAGCATGTCAGAATAAGGGCAGAGGAGTCACTATGGTTGTGATCCTAGCGCTGGCTCAACGTAGCCCAACAAACCGACCGGATCACGCGAGCATTGATCCTAGTGCGCCTTGGCTTTAGCGTAGCTCCATCTTTACAAATATTCTTCTACTACCTCTCGTGCACCATCTTAACTAGGAATGGAAGGTGTATGTGGAGGGATTTTTCCCTCAGAGAGTATTTATTGAGATTACAAATGGTGAAGCAATGAGCTAGTATTACATATTGGATCGGTTTGGAGTGAGTGGGACTATCAGCTCCAGGGGACCTCATTTATCCATGGGGGTGGAGGTATGTATTGCGTCCGAATACATGTATAACACGAACCAAAGGTGGTAGCTGAATCCGATGGTGGAGAAGCAAGTAATAGGTGGTAACATGGATCTAGTGGTCCTTAACACTGTCGAGTCAACCCAAAACCCTACAGTCATACCATTATGACGTTGTCGAATCAAGCTACGACCCGGTATTAGCATGTCACTGCCAGTTGGTGACCTGAACCGACAGCATTATCCTAACTAGAACTGTCGACTGGTGGCTTGAACTGGCAGCAATATCCCAATTAGAACAGTCAGTTGGTGGATGTCGTAATTAACCGGCACATATTGCCGGGTTATGCCTCCACCCATAAAAAATATTGCTGTATATATAATATCACCGCTAAACTAGAAGTACAGGCTCATCAGACTGTCATGATTGTTATTAATTATTAGACTGCAACTGAACACGCACACACAACCGACGATCTCAAACAACTTACATGCACAGTGCTATAATAGAAGCAAGCAGCACTCACGCGTGCATATACTCCGGCAAGGACGACATGATGCATGCATGCTGCTGCTAGCTGCAGGCTATAATTAACAAAAACAAGGCCAAAGTAAAAGAAGAAAGCACACTAGACCAGAGCACCAATATGTCTGACGCCATATTCTGGCTTCCTCTAGTGAGGACGACGATGCCACCCAGGCATCGTATCTTTCTTGCCCTGGTATTCTTGTTCCCGCTTTTGGTCGTCCAGATCGTCGTCCCCTTGTTCTTTGTCTGGCATCTGAAGCTTATTGTCTGCCAAGGTCTTGGCCCCCTGGAGCGAGATGAGGAGCCAGACGTAGGAGAGGAACTCCCCGCCTTCTCCCAAGCTCTTGGCGTGCAGGTAGCCCCTGCACATGCTGGCGGAGTAGCACAGCATGCCCACCCACACTAGGTGCATCAAATGCCAACGGTCATTTTCGTCCTTGATGTCGAGCAGCTCCTTTGCGAGGTTGCAAGCGTCGTCGATGACGCTATATGCCTCTTTTTCTTTGAGGTTGGCTGCTTTTTCCTTGATCTTGTCTAGGAGGATTTCATCGGAGAGTGCTTGCTTTTGCTGTTTCTCCTTTTCCGGCCGTGTTTAGTTCACGCACCGAATCGGCGCCGCCAAAATTTCGGTGTACTGTAGCTACAGTACCGTTTTGTTTTTATTTGGTAATAATTGTCCAGTCGTTGACTAATTAGGCTCAAAATGTTCGTCTCGCAAAGTACAACCAAACTGTGCAATTAGTTTTTAATTTCGTCAACATTTAGTACTCCACACATGTACCACAAGTTTGATGTGACGGGGAATCTTCTTTTTGCATAGTGTCAAATTCTGGAATTGGGAGTAAACATGGCCCATCCATCATGTCTTTGGTGGCCTGGGTGATGATGCGCTCCATCTGTTTGGTGGTTTCGGTGAACAGAAGCTGCCTGCTGCCGGTCATCAGCATGTCGGGTCTAAACATGAGGAGGTAGGCCATGTAGTTGGATATTGCCTCTGTGCACACCTCACGAAGCACCTCGGCATGCGGAGGCCTGCACCTAAAGTGCCTCGGAGGCTTGCTGCGGAAGCAGAGGTCGGTGGCGATGTGCCAGATGAGTACGCTTGCGTCGAATGGCGTCTTACGAAGGCTTCGCCATATCACCACGTTGGACATCTTCAGCGGATCTTCAGTCGCCGAAGAAATATCAATGTTGGCCACCTTCTTCGGCTGATCCATCTTTTTGGAGTATATATTCTTTTGTACTGTATAAATGCAGATATGAGATGCTGAAACTAAAGAAAAAAAGTTAACGGATGTTGGTTTTATGGATCCGAATCGAACATTCAGAGACACGGTTAGTCCATATGATAGGCGAACTCAAGTGGAGAAGAATTTGTTTAGGTTCTTAGATAAGCAACATGACAAGACACTGATACTCTTTCCTTACAACTTCAAGTGAGTGTTAATGTCTCATTTTATTTTGCTTACTCCATGTTGACTTTAGTTAATGAGTTATGCCTGTGTATAAACATGTAACTTTCACTGGATACTGCTGATCAACGATATGCCCAGGAGTCTTGTAAAGATCTTTGACTCAGCGACAAAACCCCGAGAAAATTACTAAAAAATGATAGATATTCTCTAGTGGTAATTTCGGTATCGCACAGTGTATACTCTCTTATGCCATTTTATTGATATAACTCCATTTATTTATTTTGTTGGGCAGTGCTTGGAAAAAGTTCGCCCAGAAACACCATTATGGTCATTGGAAAGTGCCTCTGGATATAGTCCAATACCCAGTAAGTACTAGCTAGGTCACCGCATCTTTATTTAGTTCAGTTCATTATTACCATGCTTCATTGGTTGATGATGAATCTTTTTCTCGTAAAGTGGTGTATGCAGTAGGGTTCGGGAAACAACTTATGTGGATATTACGTCTGTGCGTTCCTCATGGAATACTCAAGGAGAACTCCAGAAGAGATCCTCGAAGTATATACACAATTTATTACCATTGTGTTGATATATATAATCATATATATATTCATATTTTTTCCTTTCATTCGAATTGAAGGTTGAATAGAGGAAGCAAAAGGTTCTGGGCCAGATCAAAATAATTCAAGATGCATTGTCAGGATTTCTTATGGATTGGGTCATAGATCCCAAAAGCGCGTACTACTATGACCCTAAAGAATTATTACCTAGTAGCCATATGACTGAAGATTCAGGTTGAATGACATCCCAAGGACATGAGTACAAGGTTTTTATGACTTTATTATGTACATATTCCATGCACGTACAATCTCTTGAAATATTTGTATATATAGTTAGTGTGTTATTGTAACACCCCGGTGTTACGATCCTTTTTAGCGCCGTGATTTAGGCCTCAGTAAAGTTTTCGAAACGAGTTTCTCGGATTTTTGATTTAAAACGTATTCGACGCGATACGCGAATCCAGTGTGACTTAGTTTCATGGACTCAACACCAAGTTAAATTACTCAGTGTGTAAAGATAGTTGAGACTGTCCGATAACGATTCTAGCAAGTAAATGACGAGTGGTTTGTTCTGTTAGATTAAGCAGAAAAAGCAACTTGTATAAATCAAATAAAATCCATTAATAAATAGAACGATATACATATATATATATAGCGTTTGAATCAAATTTAAATTCGAACTTTGCTAAAAAATTTCCTATGCCTAAACGTTACAATTTATGTAAATTAGTAAACCGTTATATATATATATATATATATATATATATATATATATATATATATATATATATATATATATATATATATATATATATATAGGGAGAGGCTATTCAGTAGCCGGCTACAGAATAAGTTATTCTGTAGCCACCTCCATTTACTATAATTTTATATACTAATTTACTATAATGTCAATACATATTTACGATAGTTGGGTTACTATAACACATGGGGATATTTACCATAACGTTATATTAAACCACATAGTAAGGAGTTACTATAATCTCGTAAATTAACATAGTAATTATCATAACTCAAAATGGCTACAGAATAAGTTATTCTGTAGCCAGCTACAGAATAGTAGTTATATATATATATATATATATACCAGTTACGTAAAGCTAAGGGCCAGCACGATCTCCTTTGATGATTGAAACGTTGTTGCCTACTCTGCTCTACTCGTTGCTGTCCAGCCCCGTCGCTGCTCCTCTGCTACCTTGCCTGCCTTGCTTGTCTGCCCGCTGCTCGTATGGTCTCATCACTTTGCTATCTGACGTGATGGAAGTCGGCCGACCCACGTGCTGCTGCTCCCGCTCTGCTCTCTCACATGATTGCCGACTCGTTTGTTTTCTTTCTCTCGCCGAGGCCAGCGCGCTGCTCTGCCTTGCCTCTTCTTCATCACGCGCAGGCGCAACCGAGCCCTCGCGCACCTTCCCTGCGCTGCCCCCTGCTGCAGTGCATCCCGCATGCGCCGCCTCACAGTCTTTCCTTGTCCTGCGCGCCCGCCGACGCCGCTGCCTGGCCACCGCACGCACGGACGCGCCCATGCCCCGCGGTCTCCCCGCGAGCGAGCTCGACCCGTGTGCAGCTTCGCCGCCCTCTATTTCCTCTCCCCAGCTTGCCCTCCTTTCCCCGCACCGGCTTGAGCCCGTGCGCGGCTTCGCGCCTCCCTCTTGCTCACCCGAGCCACCGTGGCCGTACAGCATTTGAGCGTGGCTCTGCTCTGCCATCGTCCCGCGGCTCGCTGCCTCTGTGCGCGCAGCGCGCCTGAGCCCGCTGCGGCTCCTCCAACTCCCCTGCACGCCCGCAACCACCATGGCCGCTGCCGTTGCCACCTCGAGCTTCGGCCACCGCGCATGAGCGCACTCCCCGCATCGCGTCCCGTCATGGCCGCGCGACTGCCGCGCTCGGCCGGACCGCGACCCCGCGCTACTCCTCCCCGCCATGGCGCGCATGTGTCTCGTGCGTCGGCGTCCCACCATTTTCCCTCCCTGCTCCTCGGCCGCCCGCGCTGGACCGCAAGCCACCAGTGTCGTGGGCTTTGCTGCGCCATGGCCGGCCGCCTGGTGCACGGAGCCGTTCTGCCGGCGTCGCAGCTCTACGTCGCGCCTGGGGTGCTGCGCCGCGCGAGCGCACGTGGCCGGTCGAGCCGTAACCGCCCGCGCTCCGGTCCCGCTGCTCCGCGGTCCAGCTCTGCCACCGCTGCCTCTTGCCGCAGCACCCCGCCTCGCTGCCGTCCATTGCCGGCCCTCGCGAGCGCGTGTGCGACCACCATGGCCGCGCCCGAGCCTCCAGCGCCACCACACGCAAGTCGCCGGCGTGTGGACAGCCGCGGTCGTGCTTTCCCCGGCTCCTCCATGCCCTTGCCGCTGCCATCAGCCACGGTCTTCGTCGTGCTCTGTTCGTGGAAGAAGAAAGCAAGGTGAGGAAGGGTGGAAATCCAAGGAATAGAAATACGCAGGGTGTTTTCTGCAAAATACATGACTCATTGAACAGTAATCTGGACCTTGGATTGATTATAGAAGAGCGTAGGGGCCACTTCGCAAAAACGCCGCCGCCGTTGTCTGGCCCTGGCTGGGTGGGCCGGCCTGCTCATCGCGCCGCGCATGGGCCGTTGGCCTGCCTGCCGCTGGCTGCTGCGCGCCGGGCTGGGCTGCTGCTTCCCCGCCTGGGCCGCCAGTACGCTACTAGGCCACCTGCATCACTGCCGCCCCGCGCCTGGGCCATCGTCTGCACCAGGGCCGCGCATGCCGCGCCCCGCCTGGGCTGCCCGGATCGGTTGGGCCGATTTTATAACCGCTGGGCCAGTAGTGGCCACCGGCCCTTTTTCCAATTGTGAAATGTTTTTCTAAAATCGGTTTCTAGGTTAACTTGTAAGATCAATATAAAATTATGTAGGTGTCCAGAAATTATGAAATCAGTTTTGTTAGTCTCCTAAAATCGTGATCTACCTGCTAGTATGATTTGTTCACATAATGGATAATATTCTTAGGAAGCTATATAATTAATTAGAGATAATTAATATTACGAAAAGGTAAACTTGTAGGAATTGGTATGATAAGTTGGTAATATTGTTGAATCTGAAAATTTTTATAGTAGACTCCTAGCAGTATTAGTTACCCGCCGTAATTTTTGTAGCTCCGGAATAACTAGTTGCTAATTAGATAATGATGTCTGATTTCAAATAGTGATTAAATCGATAGAATAAAATATAGAAACACCGTCGGTTTATATAACTAAAATAGTTGTTGGGAAATAACGTCTTATTCGACAACATGGATACGTAGACCAGCGTTAGAACTAGCCCGTTAACTTGAGAGGCGTAAATCATATTTTACGAGTCATGATTGCAGTTGGTTAATTACATCTTTGCATTGCATCGCATGCATATCATATAGGTACGATGATGGATCAACGGATCGATCGAAGGGTGATTGGAAATCCGAAGATGGTGTAATGGTATTCTCTCTAGGAGATAATGCAATGGACTTCCTATTCAGTTGGTGGTGGAGGATCTGGAGATGCAGATACTAACTTTTAATATACCTTACCCAGGCAAGCCCTGGTGCATAACCCCTACTTTCTGCAGTTTAAATTATATTTGTGCATTAAGTTTTAAGGAGTTGATTGAAACCCACTTGCATATATATCTTTATCCTATGAGTCTTACTAGTATGACAGGATCGTGTAGATTGCTATGCTACAGGGCTCCAGTAGAAGTCGAGTGATTGCCTGTCACTCGCGAGATATAGGAAATATGTTACTATATGATTATCACCTGGAATATATAAAATGGTGGAAAGGAAAATGGTGGCCGGGTAGGGATATGGTTTGGGTATTGGTGGGTGTAAGAAGTTGTGTCGCCGCGGAGGCGGGTCATAGCTTGGTTACACCGTTTTTCCCTGTCTGGTCGGTTAAGGACCGATCGTTGCATATGACTCTGGGCAGGTCACAGACTTATTATCCCGAGCACATACTTGTGTATGGGCGCTTGGAAGACTTGTTGCTCTCTTGTCGCGGATCCGGCTCTTTCCGGACCGATTGTCAGGGTTTGTTTTTGGTGGAGGATGTCCTTGCACCACACTGAGTCCGGGACTCAGGGGCGGGGGCTTGGAGTTTCAGTTTGGACGGGGACCTAGACACCCGGGACAGGAGACTGATGGGTTGGTCCTGCTTGTGCCCAGGGTACAAGCGGGGCGTGTGTTTTCGGGGTACCCAGCTGGGGGCATTGATTCGCGAATCGCCGGGCGATCCGGTATGGCTTGTCTACGGTTTAGCATCGTAGTAAGAACTGAAGATGAAAGATGGAAGATGGAAAAGGAGATCTGATTGCTTACCACCTGCTTGAAAATAACACAAGTGCTTACATAGAATGGTTAGTTAATGAACCAATGCGGCTATTAATAAAAATCAAACATAAGGACGCACGCTTAGTAATGCTTCCTGCAAATGCAATAAACCCACAAGCCAGATAGCCTTGCATATCCTTGGAGTCTTTTCTTTTCTCCTGTCGGGTAAGTCTTGCTGAGTACAATTGAGTACTCAGGGTTTTATTTCCCCTGTTGCAGGTAACAGGTGGAGGCTTGAGCTGACCTTTGTGTGTGGATTCCTCCTGGTGGGCTCAGAGAGGATTTCCTTTACGCTGCGATCGTAGTTGTTATTTATAACTCTCACCAAATACTTTTATAAATGAAATTTTAATAATCTGTTGTCGTAGTTTATATATCAATACTTCATTATGTCGTTAATAGATGTTTATTTTCGCTGTAACTCTGATCACATGCTTATATTCCGTTGTTTAATTAAATTGTTTATAACTCTGATAATATGATTACATTCCGCTATTATAATAATAAATGTTATACTCTGATGTACATGTAAAGTGATGTAAGAACTGGTTAAGAATGATGTAAGCTTTATTCTCTCATTTGTGATCCCGAGGGAAAAATGTGGATTTTCGGGTTCTCCCGTGGGGTGTGCCCGACGGAACCGAGTAATTTAGTGTTCTCCCTTGGGTGCTTAGTGTCTAATGGAAGACAAGTACTCCTGTGAGGCATTAAATTAGGCGGTTCTGCCACAGTTATTTATGTATACTGCTCGAATGGAACCTTACACGTACGTATTTATGGACGTATATTAGCAGCATAGAATTCGTATACGAAAAGCTAATCGAAACAAAAAAGAACTGAATTAAAAAGAAACCATAAAATGAAAAGGAAAGAAATGAAAAAAAGGAACCTTTAGTCCCAGTTGAAAACACCAACCGGGACTAAACATGCCAGCCCCGGGGCAAGGTCTGGGGGATCATTTAGTCCCGGTTGATAATAGCAACCAGGGCTAAAGGTCCACTTTCAGTCCCGGTTCCCAGAATGGGACTAAAAGAGGGGCCTTTAGTTCCGGATTCGCAATCCTGGCTGGGAAACCGGAACTAAAGGGGTTTCCCAATCGGGACTGATGCTCAGTCCTGCACTAGTGGGTGGTAAGAGATGGATCCAACGGTCCTTAACATTGTCGAGTCAACCCAAAACCCTACAATGATACCATTATGACGCTGCTGAATCAAGCCACAACATGGTATTAGCATGTCAATGCCAGCTAGTGGCCTAAACCGGTAGCATTATCCCAACTAGAACTGTAGGTTGGTGGCCTAAACTGGAAGCAATATCCCAACTAGAACACAGTCGGTTGGTGGATGTAATTAACCGGGACATGGTCGGGTTATGCCTCCACTCGTAACAGTGATAGGTGTCTTTAAGTGTTGGATCTTAATCGGATCCTAGCCTAACGAGCCATTAGTGAAGATGGATCACTGTCGGCTCCAACATACCCAACAGTCATGTGCCGTTAGGCCGGGATTGCCTTTTCTGTAGCAGTGAACCAATCATTTAGCATTTAGCATTCGCAGAGAAACACTTCCTACGGACGTAGTGATGATATAAAAAACAATATTGTTGTGTATATAATGTCACTGCTAAACTAGAGGTACAGGTTCAACAGACTATCATTATTGGTATTATTATTAGACAACGAATGAACACACACACGACCGACTGCAATAGAAGCAAGCGGCATGCACACTAGCTAGACCAGAGCAACATAGCAATGGATATGGAAATAAACAACAAATAAATCAATATGGATGACGGCGCAATATTCTGGCTTCCGGATCCCACCCAGGCATCGTAACATTCTTGTCCTGGTATTCTTGTTCCGGCTTTTGGTCGTCCAGATCGTCGTCCCCTTGTTCTTTTTCTGGCATTTGAAGCTTGTCTGCCAAGGTCTTGGCCCCCTGGAGCGACATGAGGAGCCAGAGTTTGGAGAGGAACTCCCCGCCTTCTCCCAAGCTCTTGGCGTGCAGGTAGGCCCTGCACATGCTGGCGGAATAGCAGAGCATGCCCACCCACACACGGTGCATCAAATGCCAACGGTCATTTTCGTCCTCGATGTTGAGCAGCTCCTCTGCGAGGTTGCAAGCCTCGTCGATGACGGTGTACGCCTCCTTAGCTTTGAGGTTGGCTGCTTTTTCCTTGATCTTGTCTAGGAGGATTTCATCGGAGAGTGGTTGCTTTTGCTGTTTCTCCTTTTCCGTCATGTCTTTGGTGGCCTGGGTGATGATGCGCTCCATCTGTTTGGTGGTTTCGGTGAACAGAAGCTGCCTGCTGCCGGTCATCAGCATGTCGGGTCTAAACTTGAGGAGGTAGGCCATGTAGTTGGATATTGCCTCCGTGCATACCTCACGAAGAACCTCCGCATGCAGAGGCCTGCACCTAAAGTGCCACGGAGGCTTGCTGCGGAAGCAGAGGTCGGTGGCGATGTGCCAGATGAGGACGCTCTCGTCAAATGGCGTCTTACGAAGGCTTCGCCATATCACCACGTTGGGCATCTTCGTCTTCCTCAGCGGATCTTCAGTCGCCGAAGAAATATCAGTGTTGCCGCCCGTCTTCATCAGGCGCTCCTGATCTACTTCAGTCGTCGCCGAAGAAACAACAATGTTGGCCACCTTCTTCGGCTGATCTTGATCATCAGTCGAAACGGCGGCGGTGTTGTCTATCGTCAGGCCATGCTGATCTTGATCATCAGTTGAAACGGCGGGGGTGCTTTCCGTCTTCTTGGAGTAATAGTTCGTCTTGAGCAGCCTCTCCGGTTGGTCCATATCCCAGTAGTCCGTCTTGGTGAAGCTTCTGTAACTGGAGAGGTCAGCGTTTCTACCTTTTTTTAAAACCATCACCAATTGATAGGTGATAGCATCCGAGACCAAAGGGCCCAACGACGCACTCCCTTTTTCCTCACGAGAATAACCTTCCTTGTAACAAATGCGGCTGGCACACCTGAGTAGCCACCCAATAGTCGTCGTCGTCCTTGTGGTCTGGAGCACTGAGCCTACGAGGTTATACCCGGCAAGCTTCTCGCACAACACTGGAACATTCCCTCTGAACATGAGCGAGTCGCACAGCTTACTGATCAACACCCCAAGGACATCCAGGAGAGCAGTGAAGCACAGGAGAACGTACGTGGTCTTGATATCAACAGTGCCGCCGCTGTTGTACTTGTACCCCTGGCCCTGCTGCGGCTGCAGCTTCTGCTGGCTCGTCGCGAAGAGCATGATGGCGGCAATGTGCAGGGATGGAACCAGCAGCACATGGCAAGCCAAGTAGGCGGGCGTGAACATCACGTTGGCTCTGGTGTAGATGAGCCCGAACGCCTGACGAAGCATGGGCTTGAGCGTCTCGTCTTTCTCTAACTTGAGAGGCTCCAGGATCTTCTTCTCGTGACCACCACCACCACCCCTGCTCTGTGCTTGCAGGGTGGCCTCGGCAGCGAACAGCGACAGGTCCGACAGGATCATCTCGACCTGGTCGCTCGGTGACAGGATCGGCGCGTCGCCTTCCGGCAGCTTTTTCCAGCACTTGTACCTGTCGCTGAGCTCGGTGAAGCACCACTTCCACCATGCGCTAGGCTTGACCCTCGCTCCTTTCATCACCGACGACATGGCCGTGAGTGGATCAATCCTAGCTCCCCTGAGAGCCAAGGGCTTCTCCAACACACTGAGGATGCCAAGGATGAACAGCAGGACCGCCGAGGCCAGCATCCTTCTATCGCCGGAGCCGGAGCCAGGCCCAGGCCACGACTTGTAGAAGCCGAAGAGGGCGATGGTGACCTGGGACAGCAGGGTCACGGTCTGCCGGATCCACAGCAAGTTGTCATCGATGTTGCTGGCGGACACCTCCTCCACCCCGCCGAGGTGGATGAGGAGGACAGGGGCCCATAGCACCTCCAGCATGCTCGGCGGCTTGCGCACGTCCGCCTCGCCATTGTAGCAGCCGGCCACCGCCCCGTTGGCGTGCCGGTTGAAGACGGTGGCGAGCGCGTAGATCGCCACGGCGTCGCTGCAGCCGCTGCCCAGCTGGATGCACCGTCGCAGCCACAGCGGGATGCTGTACTTGCGCATGGGGGCAGCCAGCACCAGGAACCACTGCAGGCCCAGGCTGCCGAGGACGAGAATGCGCAGCTGCCACTCGTCCCACCATTGCGCAGCGCTCGAGAGATGCATGCTAGCTGCTTGCTCGATGACAGATGATCCCTCCCTCTCCGTGGACGTGTGTCTGCTCAATATCACTCAATGTATTGTATTAGGTATGTAGTTTTTTTTGGAGTCGAGTCCTTAGCGAGCAGTTGTTGGAATGGCCAGTTGGCCACCATCGTCGATGGGTTTTCCGGTTTGCCTTCCTGCCCTCATCTCTCTCATCTCTCTCCCCCTTTTTATCACATGTTGCTGTTGGAATGACTGCTTCTTCGACACATTTCACCAGAACTTTACCACGCGTACTGTGCTTTAATCATATCATGTATGTATGGGAATACGGCTTTAAACCATGCATTTTGTTTCACGCCGCTATATATATACTCTCTGTCGATGCGAAGGCTGTAATTTACTGCTCCCTTCATTCTAAATTATAAGTTATTTTAATTTTTTAGAGAGTCAAGCATCTCAAGTTTGACCAAAATTATAAAGAGAATTTTAAAGCTTTATGACATCAAATAGGTATGCTATAAAAATATGATTAATAAAGAATCCAATAATACTTATTTAGTATCATAAATATTATTATTTTATTATATAAATTTAGTCAAATTTATATGTTTTGACTCTCTAAAAAAATTAGAATGACTTATAGTTTATGATAGAGGGAGTACTACTTAACAGCCGAACCCATGCAAGCATTCGGTTCCACCGTTGAAATTATATTCTGCGTGCTTTGGGGTGTACCACACAACTTTATTTATTTGTGCTGTACTCTCAAGCTGCACTTTGCGTGTGCCTGTGATAATATTCTAGGTCCTACGTGTTAGCCCAATGGTACATGCTATTTGTCACTGCACAGTAGTCCCAACACAACGCGCGTGCGACTATACTAGGCCTAACGACTCTTATGGTCGGTGTAAATGGCACGACAAAGAAGATGGAGAGGGAGGACGTGGCGAGGGCATGTTTGATGCCGCCCTCGTCTGGGCTTGCCTGCCAGGCAAGTGATTGCAGCCCCAGGAGAATCCAACGCCTAGGGACGCTGCCTGGGAGGCAGCATCCAAACACGCCAAAGAGCGTGGCAAGGAAGATTGGAAGGGTTGGACGCGGGATAGATTTGGTGCTGGTGTTTCAAGCCTGATCCTAGGGTGAGGCAAAGTGGTGGTCGCTCCAGGCCCCAAAAGAAAGGGATCTCTTCCCACGTATGTATAGTATGTAGTACTATCACTTGGTATATGGCTTAATAAAAGTCTAAAAACCCAAGAAGACAACCATCCAGCACTGAGATGCATCACCAATTGACGTCGTCTGAGCCGTGCCATGTAAAACAAGTCACGGTGCCTCGTTCATAACAGCCGGTACACCAGATGCAATATATATCACTGTTTGCTCTTTAGCACCTGACAGCGATGGCGTATTTAGGGTAGTGATACAAAAGATAAAGCGGTTACAACAGATATTGCACTACACGCAGCACAACTTTGGATTGAGAAAATGAAGGCTACTAGCTTAAGACCTCTTTAGATCTTTTAGTCCATCCCTAGCCTGTTTGGATGGATGGACTAATGGCCATCAAAGTTGTTGTATAAAGACCAAAACGCCCCTAATTAATGCACACAATCTCCTCATATTTCTCTCCAACTTTTCTCTCTCCTCTCTAGTTCTCGCATCTGGATTTCACCGGCCACGATTGAAGACGTACACGACCGACGACCTCAAACAGCTTACATCCAGCCCGCGGATGAAGCAAGCAGCAAACGCATATACTCCATCGGCAATATATAATAAATAAAATTAAAAACGAAGAAGAAGCAAACAAAAAGATCGAAACAGAAAGTCAGAAATAGGTAGGACACGAGACCAGAGCATTGTATGTAGCAACCAACAATATTTAGTCGACATGCCATGGTTCGTCTTCTGGAGCCACGGGCCTGTCTTGTACTGGCTCTTCGCCCAGGACGTCGTCCCCAGGTTCTTTGTCCGGCATCTGAAGCTTGTCTGCCAAGGTCTTGGCCCCTAGGAGCGAGGGCCAGTTTGGTTGCCGAAAAAATTGGCAAAACGCTACTGTAGCATTTTCGTTGTTATTTGGTAATTAGTGTCCAATTATAGTCTAATTAGGCTTAAAAGATTCGTCTCGTAGATTTCGTCTAAACTGTGTAATTAGTTTTATTTTTTATTTATATTTAATGCTTCATGCATGCGTCCAAAGATTCGATGTGACGGAGAATCTTGAAAAATTTAGCATTTTGGGAGGGAACTAAACAGGGCCCGAGATTAGGAGCCAGACATAGGAGAGGAACTCTCCGCCTTCTCCCAAGCTCTTGGCGTGCAGGTAGCCCCTGCACATGCTGGCGGAGTAGCACAGCATGCCCACCCACACACTGGGTAGAATATGATTTTTAGAGGCGGCTCCTGAAGCTCTGTAGGGGCGGTTTGCCTAGCCGCCCCTACGCAAGGGTCTCTATAAATCATGTATTTGTAAGGGCGGTTCCTAGGCCGTCCCTATAAATCGATTTATAGGGGCGGCTAGTGTTTCCAGCCGCCCCTACAAACCTATTTGTATGGGCGGCTCGTATTACCAGCAGCCCCTACAAATCAAATCGATTTGTAGGGGCGGCTGTAGTACCAGCCGTCTCTACAAATCGATTTGTAGGGGCAGATGTAGTACCAACCGTCCTTACAAATACCTGTTTGTAGGGGCGGTTCAATCTATACTGCCCCTACAGTTCGTTTTCCAGCAAAAAAAATTCAAATTTACAATTCAAAGTCGCGTTGCCGAACGCCCCGCGACCAGCGTTCGCGTTGCCGAAACCCCCGCGACCCTGACTACAAGCACAAGAGTATTATATAAACTGCAATTACAAGTCCAATTCAGAAGAATATATACAACCCATCATTAAATATACAAATTCCATACACATTGTTATCAACGTCCTAGAGCTAGCCTTTCAGTCTCACGAAGGTGTTGGTACTGAGGATTTCTACCTAAGTCAGACTCTCGGTCATGGTAGGTGCCTTTGACGTGTACAATCTGATCCAATATGAAGTTGCAAAGGTCGCCGATGAGCTCTAAGAGTTGGTCATCCTTGTATGGGTCTCTTTTCATTCTTTTCTCTACTCTCCACTACAAGAGAATAAGTTTCGGTTTAGTATTTCATACCATGTACGAAGTTTTTATACTACAGGTGAAGAGGTTTAAACTTACCTTTAAGGGGTGTCTCCTGTAGGCACTGGTGTTACTCATCATCGAACATATATAGTATCCACAATGTACACTCCTAGGCTTCTACTTGGGGCACTATGTGTTTTGCATATGAAAATATTAAGTAATAATTTTGACAGCCATGTAACGGAGTACTGAAGAAGTAAGTTACACTTATCGTACATAGTGTTTTTATAGCCAGCTTTTCCTTCCTTGCTGGATCATGCCTTCCGTGATGATTAGTGACATAGAACCTAAATGCCCTGTTTGAATTATTTTAGCAAATACAACTTGTTAGAATCCAAAAGTGAACGTTACAAATATGTATACAAACATCTAAGCTAATGAGGATTGTCGATATGTATACGTCTTGAGAATCGATATGAAGTCTCTGTATGTTACCGGGTCCCTATCTATTGAATCAAAGACCCATGCCATGCTCCTCCCGACATCGACGGCTATACAAATCCAGTGGTTGCTGCATGGATTTAATCATAGAACTAGATAAGCTCTTTTGCATCGAATAAAATATATCGAACAAAGCTTTAAGTATAGAGTTGAACTTACTCAAAGTTGTATGGTAGCCATATAGTAGAGTGTTGTTGGAGATTTTTGAAAGCCAGGGCAATGTATGCCGCAACCTTAAGGCACTCTTCCCTTAGTTTCGCCGTACGGATGTGCTCTTTCTCCCAAAGAGTCTTTGCAGCAGCTAACTCTTTGGCATCCAGTGTCCACCGTTTAGGGTAATTAAATTTTGTTTGGGCTATAGCTTGAGGGTCTAGATACCCGACTTTCACACTTGGCATTTGTTTGACAATGTGCACTTGCATTCTACAAATCACAGAGTGGGTTAGTTACAACAAAATTCAAAGATTACATTCATATCATATCGGGAGGACAAGGACTTACAGGCACCACGTGCGAATTAGATTCATCTCCATTTCTCCCAGGTGAAAGCATGTATGCATGTCATTGAAGTCAAAGACAATTTTCCCGGCTGGGCTTCCAAATGTGCCGGTGGGGAAGCATGCTTGTATGAGGTCTATGCTCGTTGGGAGAACACGCAAGTACCAATCATGGAACCTTCTCATTCCAAGTGGTAGGCGCTGTATGTCCCGGTTTGGTAGGAAGGGCTTGCCTCTTTCATATGTTTTTGGGCAATCCTTTGACCATTTGATGGCATCAACATTTGGATACTGCTTTGCAATTTGGTGGAGTTTGGTAGTGATGGCCTCCTCAGAACCCCGTGATGGGACTTTTTTAACTTGGTTCTCAGGCTTGAACTGGTCATGGGAATACCACTTGGACACCGACGAAACATCTTTCATCAGAACATAAACTAGCCTTATTGTGATTGGATGCTTCTTTCAAAGTTCCCATTCAGGCACGTCCTCATCTTCTTGTGCATCACCTTCTTCAGGAGGCACTCGTTGTTCATGTATCAGATGTGCTTGTTGAGAAGACTATGGCATCTCATCGTGCACTTGCTCGGTATGAGCTAGAGAAGGTTGTGGCATCTCATCAGGCACATGCTCGCTAGGAGGCGGGGAAGAATGTGGCATCTCAGGAATGTGGTGGTCACGAGACGGTGAAAATATCTCCTCGACCTCAACAACTCGCTCCAAATTTGGGAGAGGGGGAGGCGGTGAAGAAGCAGTCAATATAATGTCCCGTTTGTGCCAGAGGATTAATTGCCCCATAACATCTCCGAGTAACACCAGCCCCTCGAGAGTTGCGTAGTCTATCCTCCACTGCATGAACTCAAGCTTCACGGTATGCACCTCGACCCTAGTGTAGTTCGGCGGTATCTTATTATTGTGGTGTA